AGAACATCACTCTGAATGAGGCAACTGAATAAGCAAAGAACACATGAAACACAACCATTGCCATAGTAGCCAGCACTAACAAGCGGAAGAGTAGACAACGCTGGAGACATTAAGTAAGAGTTTCTAATTTTCTCTAACAAATCTTTATTTTCCAGATWACTGAATCTACATTTGCTTAGGTTCTTTAAAAAATTAATTCAGAGCTCAGTGGTTAGCACACAAATGAATAAATGAGACTGAAGAAGTTATGACACCTTCATCCTCTATGAGGCACCCAAAGGAAAGAACAYATGTCATGAAGGCAGCAAGCAGATGCCAACCTTTCATGAATRATGGCAAGTAGCAGTGACACACTGGTACCAGCTCTTTGGGCTTGCAGGTCTGCATTAATGGATTTTCCACTTTAATAAGAGACCAAACCCAAGACATCTAGAGCTGAACAAAGGATTTCTTGCATCACAGACCTCAAAATATGATAGATACATTGCTTGTCTCATGAAAGTTGAAATCAATTTCACTGGAAACTGTCCAATGAAATATTGAATTGTAAAAACCATTACACATGGATGAGTTCATTATTTCAAAAAAACCCCATGTGTTTCTCCTAAAAATATCTAGTGATTACCTGGTCTTCAAGTGTCCACCCCCATGGAYTATATAAAACCTATTAATGCTGAAAGATCAAGATTCAAGCTTCTGCTCAGAGACCACTGAGTTCAGAGCAGGAACTTGTGTTTCAGTCTTTTGCCTCACAGCTTTGTGCCGGATGTGCCACTCAAGGGCTACCTCCTGACATGCGACCTTTCCGTGGTTTCTCAGAAGGCTGTTGGGATTAATTTGCCTTACACAGAAAAAATAACATCTGTTGAGATAAAAATTACAAAATCTGAAGGTTACTCTTGAATAGAATGTAGAAGATAAAGATATTTAAAATAAGAGTGAGACTAAAAGGCTTGTGTCCAGACAGCTGGAAGAACAAAGCAAGCTTGGATGCTCTGTTCTCTCTTCCAAATACTACATTCAAAGTATCTCATGACAAAAGCTTCTTAGAACAAGTATTTAAAYCTGTAATTTTGGATTTATCCATTGGGCTTGACAATCACAACATCAACTGCCAAATAAACAAAGCTGTTTTCTGAGCTTTGTAAAAGTTAGAGCATAAAGGAGTTATATTATTTTCAAGGTACTCACCAGAAGTCTAAGYTGTCTGGAGCTAGATTCAGCAAGTCTTCATCATAGCCCTTCTCCGTTACCAGATACTGGGCAAAACTATCATATATTAGCTACAAATGAAAAAATACACGCATTCATTATATTGATTAAGTGAGATCAAAGACACAGCTTCCTTGGAAATTGGCAAGATGCAAGTGTTAGTGCCTCCTAAATTAAATCAAGTCAAATCTAGGGGCCTTGTCCTACTGCCTCCACTGGGAAATAGTGCCTGGGGTTATTTCTGTCATGGCTGGRAAACACACAAGAGTTCTGCTGCAATGTGTCCAGCACAACTCAGATTACAACATTCTAATTTATGGTCCATGTGCTTCAAGACTGTCGGGAAATCATGATGGTAAGTACTTAAAGACTAGTCACCCCTCCCCAGTCCTTTTTTGTTTTGCTTGGTTTTATTTTAAATGTCATGGTTACTGAGATTCAACAAGCAGCTTCCAAACCAATAAACATTTATCCTTAAGAGGCATTTTAGAAGTATTTGAAGGAATGTATTTTGAAGGAAACAGGAAACTACTGAATAAATGGTTATTATTTCTAAGTTCCAAAGGCCTAGCATGACCCTCAGCAATTTATTGATGTACTGTGCTGGTAAAGTTTTACAAGAAATCTACAGAGATGCTGCCACATCCTTAAAGACCATCCAAAACCAGTAATTGCTCCCTTTTTCTCACAGTTCTTTCATTAAAGTGTTCCCTGGCCTTTTTTCTTTAATTACAACAATTGCTCTTGGAATTAATATGAATAATGTCTGAGAAAGAAAAAAAAAATGAAGGCCAACACTGAAATAGCAAGAACTAACTACATCTTCAGCTGGGCCTTTCAGCCTTTTAAATTTTTTTTTTATTTACAATAGATAAGGAGGCATGCAATGGGCATGTGTCAGTCTGCCTCTGTCTTCTGTGAAAAGATGAAGAGTGAACTAAATTTAGTAAGTGTTCTGGGTATTTTTTTCTGTATTTTGTTTATTAGTTGGATAGAATCTTTAAAAGCTCTTATAACTAAACATTATCTGATGTTTGCCTTCATCAGACAAAATTTTTATCAAGAATGGCCTTGTGTAAGATGTGATGTCTGTGGCACAACAGAAAGAACACGGAAGGTAAGCCTAGTGTCACAGCTCCCACCTAGAAATGTAAGAGCTCATACATTTAATTGCTACTGTTGAACCCTCTTTTGTAAGGAAACTGCCTCTCCACACAAGTTCACACATAGCTAAGGGAAGCAATGCTCTTTTTCAACACAAGATGCACTGCACAATGCCTATTAATAAAAGGGACAGCTCACAAACATTTGTTTCTATACCAAATTCTGAAATATCTTGCTATTAGCGTGGGAGTCCTGTGCGGTGCAAAATGTATTTAGTTGAATAGAGGCAAAGACAGGGAGAGATTGCGACACCACGAGCATCCGTGACACCAGACAGCTCCAGGACAGAGYCCTGACATCAACAGAGAAGGACGAGTCAATGCAAGATTACCAGAGAGTTTAAAACCGAAAGTGCCAAGGGCGGGAATGCACAGCACAAGACAGCACTTCCTCTTCGAAAGGGATTACAGGGCTAAATCAGAGGTGCCGCATGCCTCCRAACTCGGCATTTTATTACAAGCACCAGAAAGTTCGCAGAGGTCGCCGGTCYCGAGTGCTGCGGACTCCTCACTCTGCAGCATCTCTGGATTTGGCGGGGAGGCTCTACCTTTTCCTYAGCGCCGCTACGGCCAGGAATGAAACACCATTTTCAAGGAGGAAGACATGGCCTTCGCTCGGGCAGAGGCCTGCGAAGGAAGCGCCCAGMGAGAGATGCTCTAGCGCTTCTCTTATGTTCCGTGGATGTGTGAGACGGCCGGCCCAGGGCTCGCTGYCCCCGCCGGAGAGGTCGCGGCCCCGCGCCCCCGGGACGCGGCACTTTGCCTTTGGCCGGGCATGCGGCRSAGCGGAGCGGGGCGGAGCGGGGCCCCTCCCGGGGCTTTCCCGACCGCACCGCCCGCACTCACCCGTGCGCTCTGCGGGAGGTGGTACCGGCAGAGCGTGTGGTCCAGGTCGAAGCCCACCACGTCGCAGTCAGCCAGGGAAAAGTGTTGCTGCATTGCCGAGCCGCCGCCGCCGCCGCCGCCGCCGCCGCCGCAGGCGGGAGGAGGAGGAGAAAGAGGCGGGAGGAGGAAGGAGCGCGGGCGGCGCTTGGTGCGGAGCCGTACGGGGCAGAGCGGAGCGGGGCCCGCGGGACGCCCTGAGCCCGCCCCGCTCCGCCCCGGCCGGACCGCCCTCACCTGCAGCACAGCCCCTCGGCGGGCCCAGGGACGGAGGGGCGGAGCGGAGCGTGTGGCYGGAGGCGTGTCCAAGCGCTCCAATTCGAAAAACACGCTTCCCGCCGAGGCTTTGTGCGCCTGGGAGCAGGCGTGGGAACCGAGGGTTCCCGCCCCTCTGACCGCATTCGCCCGGCATCGGGGGGTGTTTGCTGGGACCTGGTGAGCCGGGAGCAGGCGGGGAGCAGCAGTCAGCCTTGGTTAGTGACACCGCAAGGGCCCTATTGGGGACAATAAGCATATGCAAGTAGACAAACACTACTTGCTGCTACATTGTGCACCCGCAGCACGTTTGCGATGATTTCAAGCTGTGTGGTGCAGTCGACAACCTGAAGGGAAAGGGATGTCATCCAGAGGGACCTGGAAAGGCTTGAGAGGGGGATTTTGCGAAGCCCGGCAAGTTCAACAGGGTCAAGTGCAAGGTCTTGCACCTGATTCGGGGCAGTCCCAAGAACAAGGGCAGGCTGGGCAGAGAATGGACAGACAGCAGCCCTGAGGAGGAGGACCTGGTAGGTAYTGGCGGAGGAGAAGCTCAACGTGACCCGGCAATGTGCACTTGCGGCCCAGAAAGCCAACTGTGTCCTGGGATGTACCAAAAGAAGTGTGGGCAGCAGGGCAAGGGAGATGACTGCTCCTCTGCTCTGCTTTCCCTGTGTCCTACTCTGGGGTCCCCCCATGAGAAGGATGTKCACCTGCTGGAGTGAATCTTGAGGAAGGTCATGAAGATGATCAGAGGACTGGAGCACCTCTCTTATGAAGACAGGCTGAGAGAGTTGGGGAAMTTCTCAGCCTGGGGAAGAGAAGGCTTCAGAGAGACCTTGCAGCAGACTTCAGTACTTAAGGAGGYTTACAGAAAAACTGCAGAGAGATTTTCTTCCAACCCAACCCATTTTATGATTCTATGTATCAAAGTCCCTGCAGGGTACACTGTACACAGTAAACCATGCTATGCTGTGCATTTAGCTATGGAAAAAACAAAATTGCATGGGTAACTAGCTACCTTTTAATTTATTGACAGTTTTGGTAATAATGATAATAAAAAAGAATAACATTAAGAACAGTACAGTCTGTATCCAGAATACATAAATGAGTTTTTGATGGGTATCTGCTGAATAAATAATGCTGTAGTGCAATTAGAAAGAAAGTGCAGTCTGAAAGAAAATATGTGTTTGGAGATGAGAGTTGCATTGGTGTAGTCTTGTTCTCTGTGGTTCAACTTGAATATAGTGTCCAGGCTGGACTCAAGATGCTGAAGCAAATGGGCTTGACAGCCTTGTTTGAAGGGTCTCCTTATCCTTCAGTTCTTTTCTCTCMGTAAGCCAATGACACCATCAAAACTTTGATTCACAAAACAAGAAAAATTCAATATATTCATTATTATTCAATATATATGGTTCAATATATTGTGAAAAAAATGAATTGAGAGAAATTTTTACAAGAAATTTAATACTAGTCATCTTTTCCCATGTTGCCTACCTGTGCACAGCTGTAASTGTTGTACTTTGTAGGAGAAATTCAAGTTCATAACCATAGCAGCAGTGTGTGGCAGAWTTTTTGATTATATCAAATTATGATTTGATTTTTGCAGGATGACTCAATGATAATTTGGTATTACAGACAAAAATGCTTCTGAAAATACGTTCAAGTAGTTGAAAGAGAGACAATGTACTTTTATTTTAGATTCAGTTTGCTATGTTCAGGTAGACAGAGATAAGAGAAATTAATACCATGACCTGTCACATGCATTTAAAATTTCTACAGAGAAGTGTGAGTCTTCTCCAGAGAAATCTACAGATCATGTGTGAAACCTGAGCACGCATAAAAGTATATCCAGGGTTTATATATATATATATATATATATATATATATATATATATATATATACACATACATATACTCAACAGGGATCATAACTATCCAGATGAGGCCTAAGAACTCAGAGCATAAGACAATTTACCTTCCTACAGCTGCTCACTTGTGAAAATACAGAGCAAATTCCTGTCCCACTGAAGTCGATGGCCACAATTTTGATTGACTTCAGAAGGTCCAAAAGTTCACCCACAGTTGGTGTTTTTCACTATTCTTACGTAAAGGTGTTTCTGCCTTGCAGATTATATCAGTAGAGCTATCTTATTCCAATTACTATTTTTTCCCCTGAAAAACCTTCATGTAGGTTCCAATAGAGTGTTTAGGTTATGGCATTTAAAAGGTATAACTTTTCTTGCTATGCCAGTAGAACATTTTCAAAACGTTGAAAAAAATTCACCAAAAAAGCAACTTAATACACTGAAGTGTTGAAACATCTGAACATATAATGAGAATTATRTATTCATTGATAGAATCATAGGATGGTTTGAGTTAGAAGATCATCTAGTCCAACCCTCTGGTCACTGTATCCACTGTCAACGGAAAGTAGTCTTGAACACAGAGATTTTGTGAATGCTGCACAGTTATATTGATAGCAATGACAAACTATCATAGAATTTACAACACAAAAGTACTAATCCTACTTATCTTAAACCACTTTGTGTAGCAAACAATTTTCACCTGTGGAGGCATCCAGCAAGTTAAATTTCAGGTACATGAAGCTAAAGATTAAATCAGAAGCCTGACAASAAAAAAAATGGAGAAAATACTTATGAATAGAATTGGTTTTCAGTTCTAGGGAAAGAGAAGATAAATGAGAGAATAACACTTTATCTTCAGTATTCACAGCCCAAGTGTGGTAACAGAAAAGTCTTGGCAGTCTATTTTCAGCACATAACACCAATATTTTTTTTCTTTTTCTTTTGTCTTAAAAGTGTTTTGTTTTTCAGTCTCTTCATTTCATATGAATCCTTTAAATATAYTGACATCCCATACTAGGATCTTCTCAGAAAGGAGCTGCCTCTAGTAAAAATCCTCTGCAAAAACTGAGCTACCTTAATGTGTTAACAGCACTCTTTCAGCTCTGTCCTTCTGGTTTGATGGCACCATGAGCCACTTAGAGACATCCACATAGCTCAGGTTTAGCTGTTGGGCTATCAGGTCCAAACTGAATTTATTTTAGGTTTCCCAATGGCTAATTCATGCAYCACAGTAATTACTTTTAGTTTTAAATATGTGGTAATTGGGTGTTGGGAAAAATCGGAAACCCTGTCCTAGTAKGGGAAATTCCTAACTGGTCACTCTGTAGGAGGCAGAATTGCTTGTGGTTTGGCTCACCTCCTGAAGCTGCAGCTGGGGCAGAAAAGCTGCCTGAGGGATGCTCCCTCTCCAGCCCTCAGCCCATGGTGCACAGACAACCCATGGAGYCAGCAGGAGAAGGCAGTGGCTTCTGCACACCATCCGCACCCTAATGTTTAGCAGCCTGCAGGAAAAATGTGTCAAGTGGGAGATTTGATGTGTCAAAGCATTTTAGAAATATGGAAAGGAGCATTTTGGTTTCCTTTGTGCCTCATSATGCCTCCTTTCCACGCAGAACAGGCTTTAACACCAAGCAACTTTACAGCACAAGAACGTGCTAACATGCCCTGGAGAGTAAAAGGAACATAACTGAGTGTGGTAACGTACACAAAGGCATGAGAACTGTGTCAAAATACTTCAAATATATCCTAGCTGTCACACAGTAGGCCTCTGAGCAAGACAAGCAATGCAGCTCCTCACTTTCTTTGTCCTTAAGAGGGCAGCAGTACAATACATTGGAGCATCCCTCTGACTTAGGGTGTGAATCATCTGCACCTTCGTCTGTTTTACTTGCCTTAAACTTTGTGGGTATTGTTCTGAGACTGTGTAAGTTGACTTTGTCCCAACTGTGCAGTTGTAGCTGTTTGTCTGTTTTGGTAAAGGTTATAAGTGTTTTGTTAAAAAGAGGGGAGGGGCCCTCATACTGCTACAGAAGAGTATGCAATAGTGATATGTGAAAATAAGAATTCGAACAAATATGGAGTGTTTTCTTTTTAGATAAAAGAACATCTTATGCAGAAGTAAGGTCACAATATTCTAGAATTTTCTTTGTTTTTAAAACAAATRAAAATACCTTTGGAGTAACATTAGCCAAACCAAAAAGTGATGGATTTTGGCAATTTTTTAATATATTTTATTTTAGCATGCTACTAAGAGATGAGTCTCAGGTTTGCACTTGATTTAGCTGTTAACCCATGAAGTGGTTCAGTGCACAGGTAAAAGAATGTCTCACAGCCTGGCATCCCCATCCTGAAACATCCCATGATGCCTCAATGGGATTCTTCATGCATTTAAATAGGATTGATGGATTTGGTTCCTTGATTTTAAGTTTAGGAACTTAGGATGTTTGCTTAGGATGTTTGCTTAGGAACCATCAGAGGAATAAGCTCAGGATATACAGAAATAGGGCTATGACTTATTACAGAGTGATACTTTGAGAGACATAGATCTACCAACAGTAATTTATTTTAAGGAKAACCTCTGTCTCTGCAAGACAGTGAAATCTGTCAAGAATATATTTCCTTTGAAAAGCAGTCTCCAGCACTTACTTTAAGAGACTTTTAAAAGCTGAGCAAAACACTATATAATCTTCAAGGCATCCCTTTGTGGCACACAGGATAGCTTGTTACTAGGGAGAGAAACTTGCTGAATATCCTTAACTATTGATCAGGATTTCAGATTTTATTAAATTCTAGTAATTTCAGAAGTTTTTCTGTTTATTRTGTTGTTTAGGAGCCTTTTTATATGGAACAAAATATGAACATATCAACTTTTTARTGGAATTACACACATAAAATTTACAGTGTCCTGCTGGGATTAGGACATCTGATTACATCTGGCACCTCAGCCAGATATTTGTTACATTCT